TACACTGGGCTCTGTTATACTGACCAATCTGAGAAAAACTGACGCAGGTCTGCTGTATAAGATGCAGATACTGCTTTGTGAACCAGTACAATAGAAACTAATCTTGTAAAATATTTGTTTCAGACTCATTCCTGGACAGAAAATCTATAGCTGTACATGAAAAGCATCCGGACTTTTTTATATCTGTCTTTTTTGTACATATTAAGTCTCTAGTATGTACATTTTCAGTCAACATTACATAAACTCATTTAATAATCATCACTCAAGTAACTACTATGTAGTATATTGTAATGTTATTTTGAAAAAGATTTAGAGGAAAGACTTTGAAAACATTTGGAAAAACGAATCAGCCTCTGATAATGGCCCTATCAATTTTCTTTGGTAGCTTTTTCCCTGACCTATTTAGCATTAGGATAATTTTATCTGAATTTGTTTGGTTAAATCTTGGGTATTAAGGTCATAGATCTAAAGTGTGGTTTCTTACTCTAGTATTGAGTTAAAATATCCTGTACAGTCAGAAAACACTGATTACATTAACTGGCTTTGCTTTGGAACACCTATCTCACCTATCTCCTGACTACAGTTCTCATCTGCAGGAATGAAAATGAGAAGGTCACACACACTTTGGTATTTGCAATGTGGCAACATTCGTAAAACCATTAATGATGTTCATGGAGGCATCATAAACGATGGAGACAAAGCACCAGAAGAAAACAGGCTCTCATCTACCCTGGCTACATCTTCCTAGAAATAGAGATAAAACAAAAATAAAAATTGGATTCCTTTTGGAAAATGAGTCTTTAAACTTACAGATTGGTTTATTTTGAAAAGAAATTAGATTTGGGGCCCACATATCACCCATGCAGGATATAATGTGTGGTCCCATCTTGTGCTAAATATGTTGCTATGACTTTTACACAGGGGAACATTGAGCAAGCAGCAACCCAGGGAAGGGAAAATCTAACTCAGACATCAATAATTCATTTATCAGAAACAGGAGTAGTGGTGTGAAATGCCAGGAGACTGTTTCATTTATAGGGAGGCGTTTTCTATTTTAAGCCTAGAACAATGGATGCAGTCCACCTTCTTCAGTGAGCTAACAGGAATGGAGGCAAAGTTGAATGAAGGCCGGGTTTCATGGCCTCCTCTAGTAGTGCTATTTCTTCAGTATCTGTTATTCACATCTGACACACCACCATTTGGGGGCTTGAAAAAGTGACAAGAAAGGGATTTTCATAACTTTTGTACTTCAGAGATAATTACCTTCAATCCAAAGCTTTAACACTAGAAATGTAACCATGGACGTCTAAGAGACGATTTGCATAAAGTTTTGAGGATACATTCTCTTAGAACTAAAAACCCTGCGGGCATTACAGCTTCTAGTCATCTCTCCGTTCAACCCACTGGTTAGTAGTCTATGTTACTTCATCATTGTTTCCCCCAAGAATTTAGCTCAGAACCATTCACAAAATAGGGTTTTGATGAATATCTGTTGAATGAATAGCAAGTGCAGGCAAATATGAAATAATTCCAAATATGCCCTGAAACCGACTGGTCCGACTGCACAGTGACAAAGCACTTAAATAACACATGCCTCAACTTCTTTACTCTGGTGACGATTAGAAATTCTTCCCCTTCACTACCTTACATCAAATTCAAGGTCCACTCAAGGGTGACGGAGAGGTACGAGTTACTGTAGACTTAGTGAGTCATGGCTTCCAGCCCCTAAGAAGCAGAGAAATCTATCTAAACCTCTAACCTTAGAAGTAAACAAAGACCTCCAAGTCTAAAATTAAATTTGAAATGTTCATATGCTCATACATTTTGAGATAAATCTAATTTAACTGATTATTTATCAAGAATTGAATATAGGAATAGAACATGTAACTATAATAGCAGCTGTGATTATCTAGCACCTATTAGGCTATCAGCTATATGCTTTGTGTTTTACATATATTATTGCTAATCTTTAGAAGTAAGTATTACCATGCCCATTTTAGAGATTAAAAGAAGTATTAAAGTCAGAGTAGATAGGCCCAAAAATCATAAAGCTCATTAAGGAGAACCAAGCTCAAAGTCAACTCTTCTAAACCACAAACCCACTCATTATTTCCTGATGCCAAGTGACTTCTGATCAAACAGAATTATCCATCCATGGATTGATACTTAAAGACAGATCCATCAATCATATGTATAATTATGATCTAATGAGCCAAGAGGATATGTTAACCCGAAGGCTTTAAAATATGCTTGTGGTTGGCCAAGAAAAAGTCAAGCAGCACCACTGAGAAGAGATAAAGGGATATCCGATGCCCAGGTGACTGTTGACTCATAAAACAGGCTATGTCTCACGCCAGAGAATGCCATATTTCACCATCAGGACTACAACCTAAGCATGCAGCTGGAATAATGCCTGTGTCTGCCAATAATCAAACCTGTATTGTACTCAATAATCCATGGACCATACCGAGAATGGGCCAAAACCAGACACACTAGAACACTCCAGAGTGAGGGCAGTGAGGACGGTGGTGATTCACAGCGCTGGGGAGCATCCAAGTTTGAAAGGAATTCCCACAAAGGATACAGTTTTTAAAAGACAGCCTGTAAAAAGCCATCAAAGCCATACTCAAAAGAATTGTCTTTACACAGACAGCAGTTAGCAGTGTTAGTCACAGGTCAGACTTTCCCTTGGAGAACAGTCACTATCACTGAGAGTTTCAAAGCAAAAAATTCACCACGTGTATGTGCACATGGTACCATCTCCAGGGCACAATAAGTTGTCAGTTTCTATCTATACCCTCTCTTGTCACTCAACATCCTGCGAGAGGATACTTTGGGTGTCAGCATGATCTAGAACCTTCCTGTTCCTCTTTCTCTTACATAAATGTTGATGAGATAAATTAAGCCAATGGATAGAATACAGTCAGTTCTCCTAAAATGTTTGCCTTGACAATGAATTTCATCCCATACCAATGATATATTAGAGAATAATTTGAGCATAATGTGAAATTTACACTTGTTTATGCACAGTTTTGTCCTAGACACTCCAGGTAAATCTAGAAAGCACACCTAGCTGCACTGCCCTGTAGGAATACACAAACCACAGAGCTACACACCCCAGGAGCGCCAAGGTCGCCCCTGGTCCACGCCTGGGCTGCTAATTCCTCTGTGATTTTGGAATACCTTCCTTCCACTTCACAATAGCCTGCAAACTGCCACACTTCCAAGGCCATCCTGGGAGTCCTCCACACTTAGTCTCCCCCTTTCCTCTCAACCTATTTCGTAATTTTCCTCGTTATTCTGTCGTTTTTCTTTTCTAAAGTTTTTATCTCTTTCTCTCTTACTCTTTTTCTCTTGCACTCTGTGTGTGAGTTGGAGCAATACAATAGGCACAGACTTCCACAAGCAAACTTCAGGTGTTTTTCAAGATAAAGTGTCACACTTATTATAGTTTAACTTATTTCGTAACCACTTAACAGGAAAACTGGGCTTTTTTTTTAAATAGGTCCCTATCATTTGGGTGTGTCTGTGATGAAATTCTTGATTAAGCTCCATTTTCTTATTACTTTGGTTTTAGATTCTGTAGATCTAAAAGAAGTATGTTTAAGGATGCATTTTCCCATTATAACAGAATGGACTTAAATTGAAATTTATCGGTAGTGACTTTTTAAGTGAAGCTTCAAGTTTCTTCACATGTTTCCCACTAGTTTGCAAATTAGGTTAAATATATTACTCCACATTGTCTCAAATTAACCCATTGTGTGAAATTCACTAAAACTTAAAACAGTGAAATCTAGACACAATGGCTAGGCCTAAAAGAAAACTACCTAGTTTAATTTAGGTCACTTTGTCTTTTTGTTTGGGGGAGTTCTGGAAAATTCTATCCATATCGATCTGTATATTAATTAAGGCTTCCACCACCAAATCTGATCTGTAAAATTCACTCAGTTGTTAATATTAACAAACAGCATATTTTTCACAGTAACTTTTTTTAGGCTTTTGTGTAGATGGTAAAAACAGAAAAAAGAAAAAAATCCATGTACACTCACAATTATCTAGGTCACATGGTTTCATCTAAATTTATTGACTTAATCAAATAATACTGCCTGAGAAATTTTTCCCTGAAGAAAAACACAGGCTGAAAATATTACATAATAAATGGACAAGACACTTCTCTTTGCAATTTCTGCCATCCCAAACTAAAACATGTAAATAAAAATTCAAATGATAGTATCTAGATTACAGCATTATCCTGGAGGAACTCTGCAGTAAAAGGAAAAAATGTTAATGTGATCTAGACATGAGATGTATCTGCTAACCTTTGAAAGAATCTAGGTCATCTTAAGCAAGAAAAACCGTTTCCATTTACTTTCTGAATAATATTAAGATATTCTATGCTGCAATGCTTTCACAAAAACAACTGTACTAACTGGGAACTATAAATATGGGTAAATGGGTTTTCCATGGCTCTTAACTATGGGGATAAGAAAGGTAGTATGTGCCATACATGGCAAACCTTATAGGTATTTCAAGTCTTTAGTAGAAAACATAATCACTACAAAAAAAAAACAAAAAACATAAAAGAAGACCCCTGGCAGAGACCTCAAGCACAGCATTCAATCAAATCTGTGAATATAACTGAATAAAGTAACTCTTTTGGGGGGTACTTTGTTTTTCCCCTCCTTTTTGTACTCCCATCTCTAAACAAATGGGTCAACTCAGGCAAATTTACCACAGGAGGGGCAATTTTCCCCAGCTGCACCCCCAAGATTTGGAAATGCTGAGTCATTCCCCTGGGTCCCCGCTGCAGTGATTCTTAGTATGAGGAACACCCCCTTTTCATTACCCAGAAGCTTCAGTGGAAAGACACTTGTTTATCTTGGAGCAAATCAGGGATCTTCTGCTACCAAGGATTTTTAAGAAAATACTTTCCTCAGTAGGAGCAGAAAACAAAGCTTCTTGTCGGCTGCGTGCCAGCCATCCCCTCACTTGGGCCTTACTTGTTCTCGTTGCTCGCATCATAACGAGGCATTGGGTCCAAGTCATTCCCATTCACGTCACAACTCGCCAGAGCATCCTACGGCCAGAGAGGAGTGAGCAAGAGACAGGAGACGGACAGTCATTAATTAGCCATTTCCCTGGAGGCTCATGAATTCTTAAACACATTTCTGCATGACAGTAATTAGATTAGATAATACACTCATGGTTCGGTGATGTCCAGATGCCTTGTTCAATAATAATCAGTGTTGTATTTTCCCCCTTAAGGTGCAGAAACACGCTCCACAGAGCCAAGTAGTGCCTAACCCATTCTTGCCAGCGCTTGTTCCCTCTGCCTAGAACTGACTCCTCCTCACTCAGTTCCTTCGAAGATATTACCTCCATCTCTATTACCACCTTTTCTGTGAAGTACCCGTGGAATACCCAGAAGCAAAGTGATTTTCCTCCATGGACTCTCTAGTCCTTACTTCATTTCTTGAGTGTGCACATTCCTTATCCTAATTCAAAGATTTTATGAAGACAAAATCCCTCACCAATACTTGGCAAGTCAATTAAAAATCAGAATATGTATTTTATAGAAATCTGTTACATAAGGTATCTTGGGACCTCTATTAGGCAATATTTGTCTTGTTTGAGATGTTTTATTTATTATAAGGAGTCTACAATTCAGACTTTTGACTAATACCCAATACACATATTTTTGCCTTCAAAATGAGTCATGAGTACCTCTGAAACCAAAATTGGACTTGTTTGCTTTTTAAAATGATGGTGAAAAATCTTCAGATGACTAAAAAGAATTTACTGGATTGTTCCATCATTCAAACTTGTATCACTGTAGACAGAACTTGGTTAGGATGTTTTGAGTTTGCTGATGTTTCATAAAACTTCATAATTTCAGTTTTAGTGAAAATAAATGCTCTTGTTTTGTTTTCTATCTTTATCAAAGGCTCTTGCTTCTGAAAATATTTGATAGTACCTAGAGTCTGAAGTGTCAGGGGGAATTAAGCAAAAAACACAGTAAACGTAAGACTGGCAAAATCCTTGCTTCCCATATAAAGAGGGCCTTGAAGCCCCACTTAGTGTCACTAGAGTATGAAGGGTGTGTATCTAATGCAACTTACTAATTTTACTTATAAGGAAACAGAGGTACAAGGCAGGTTAAGTAATGTGGCCAGTGGTGTGAGGTGAGCCACCTGTGGGACCAAGACTGGAACGCAGGCCACCTGACAGCTCATCCAAAGTGCTTTTCTGTCCCTGCCACCACCTCCAACATTAGGACTGACAGGGCACCAGTACTGCTAATTACACAGGTAAGCTTGGGAATTTTTCTTTTAAGGGGGAGAAAGTTTTAAAAAGATAAGAAATACAATCACAATTAGGCTAAAGCTATTTCTATTTAATCAAAAACATTCCTAAGCAGTGGACAGCAAGAGCACCCCATAAAAAGTATATTGCATATGACAAGAAAGACTTCTTTGCTAAGCAATGGGTAAGCATAGCTCTCTTCAGCTGACCTGGGTGCTAACGCACTTCCGTTTTCAGGCCTCAGTTCCTCCCTTATCAAACGGGGTGATGAAATTTATTTTTAGCTCTAAAATTCTATGCTGTGAGGAGACATATGCATAGGTAAGGGCGCTTAGAGGCAGGTGAGAGCAGCCACTCAAATGTTTTAGTTCAAATGAGAACTAAATGAATTTTCAGTCCTTTCTTTCTCTTTCTTTCTCTTTCTCTTTCTCTTTCTCTTTGTGTGTGTGTGTGTGTGTGTGTGTGTGTTTTAACCTTAGGGGAAAATCATCTAACTTAGGGGAAACTGTTTCAATATTTCTCTGTAAAAATTAATTTCTGAGGTTTTGTGGCTGAACTTTTTGAAACAAAAAGGGCAACAGGGCAGAATATTGGGAGGAGAATATTGGGATGAAAGTTTAAGGTGATACTGGATGTGAAGGAAGGTTTTCGTAAGTCACAAATATGGGTGACTGTGAGTCAGTGGTCATTCCTGATGTGTCAAGGGAGTTACTTGGAAGTATTTAAGTTGCAAAGATAAAATGGAGTCTTTTTAGGTTTGAGTGACAAAAGGAAAATTAATTTGAGAGGGATTAGGTGTCATGAAATTGGTGAGATTATGCAATTGAAAAATAAACACTGGAGAGAATATATGGCAATTTCTATCTCAGTGGTTGTGTGAGAAGCTGAGGCAGTAGGTAAGAGAGAAACCAGAGGGGAGATGGTCACAGAGAGAACCTCACAAAGTGACTCCGCTGTGCAGAGAAACCAAGCTTTCCCTTGAAGAGAGTGAGAGAGAGAGATGGAGACAGAGATCAGATCTCAAGAGGACATCATATCCCTATCTCTGAATCTCAGCCTTAAGGAAAAGGCCTTGTTCACTCTGAGTGAGTCCACAAGGCACCCCTCAGGGCCACTGCTGTGCCCACCAGTTCCTGAGGAGCAAACAGGGAGAGAGGGTGCAGGCATGGGAGGATGGCAAGTCCTCTGCGCTGATGTGCAGAGGGAAGACCCGGGCAGGGCCCATCCCAGAATGCTCTGGCAGCTCAGGGCATGTGCCGGGCTGGGCTCACTGAAATTGCTCCCTTGATGACCATGAACCAGAATACAGGAGAAAAATCTGAGGAGATATGGTCCCCTAGACGAAGCCCAGAATTCTCTGTGCAGGCCCCTCCACAAACACAAGGTAAAGCTTCCCACCCTGGCCCGTGACTTTCCTCCTTAAGGGTCAACATTAGTCCAGTAAAAGGAATTGGACTTGACTGAGATTCACAGTTGCTGGCATTTTCAAAGATAGGAGAGGGAACTCAGATGCTGACAGAAAAAAGGAAACTTTGTCAATACCAACATGAAATACAATTTAGGAAAATTTACACAGTCAAAATTTTAGAATGAAAAGGAATCATGAAGGAGTAGAGAGGGAAGTGGATACAAGTGACTGAAGGGTAAGTGGGTCTGTAGAGACACCAGGGCCCTCAGGTGGGAACAGCTGTCAACGGAAAAGAGGTCAGAGAAGTCAGAAGACAGGGTGGGAGCAGAACCCCCTGGGACACTCTGCTGATTCCCGCCAGGAATCACAGTTGTATTAGCAGATAATAGGGAGTCATTGCAGGCTCTTTAGTAACAAAAGAATTACTCTAGGGAGAACACTAAGGTGTCAGGAAACACCAATTTGGAGCAGACAGAGAATAATACACTGAGACATAATTACAGTACTTTAACCAAATTTAGGGAGAAGCCAATGGAAGGAATAGGTTTGGAGAGTAGAGGACAGAGGGGTCATTGGCACATTTCCAGGTAGTGACTGTCATGGTGGCAGAGGGGACCTAGAGGTCCAAGTGGCAGAAACTGACCCCAGTGTAGTGGGGGCATCAGTCAAAGCACCAAGTCTCAGCACGTTCACTTGCTGAGATCTTGGGCTCATGTTATGCTCTAAGTCCCAGAATCACAGTTCCTTCTTAAGAAAGGGAATTGACTGATTCCCAAGGACTCCTGGAGGGTTGATCATTACTGCCCTTTAAAAGAAACCAGAATTATTTGAAGGAAGTTTGAAGCATACTTTTCTCCATAAAAGAAAGAAAGGACGTTGCCTGGCAGTGTGGATGAATTGTCGAGACCCAGCAGTTGTTGTCAGTAGCAGATGGTGCTAATGGTGGAGTTCCTGCTGCCTTATCACCTGCTTTTTGTCATCAGAACATCAAAGGCACTTGAAAGTGGGAAGGATCATATCATGCTTCCTGTACTCTGAGAGCACATCTTTCACAAGATGGGTGCGACAGACAGAGCCTAGAACATCCGTTAGCTGTGTTTCTCCATACAGTCCCCCCTTTTTGGTGACCCTGACATGAGTTCCCCTGTGTCCCAGGAGGGAAGGAAGGTATTCTGACCCAGGTAGACACTCACGTAGTTCTGCATCAGATCCGGATGTGTCCTCTCGATGCCATCATCCAGGATGGTGACCACTATGTTCTTCCCCGTGTAGCCCCTCTTCCAGGCACCTTCGATATTCATGTCTGATTGGCAGGGATGCATGTTGTCACTGCAATGCTAGAGAAAGAAGAGGGAGAATTGGACACTGCAGGTTGCTGAGTCAGGAGTAGAAGGGAGAATAACCTCCCTATTAAGACAATGCTTTCTATTAACAGAAATTTGATGAGTTGCCTGTTACAGTGGAAGCAGGGATATCCAGCATGCTAACAGGGCAAAGTAGGAAGGATAAATGTGGGAAGGCAATAGAAATCTCTTCTGCCACTTCTGCCCTGTTCTAACACCACAGATCCTTTGGGAAAGCATAATAAAATACATTTCCAACAACAGAATCATGGATGTGTTATTTTATTGTTAGCATGCATTAATGACATAAAAAGGCATTGTAGCATTTCATTTATAAATCCAAACTAGGTTAACTGAAAAGCATACACTCTATCATTTCTGAACCAGGTACTAGAAGCCAGTCTAGCTACAAATGGCTGTTAACGCTGGCAGCTCTTGCACAGCGTCAGCCAGAACTGTCCTGCGTGAGAAACCATGAATGAGAAAAACAAAAAAAAAATGCCAAACAGGTTCTTCAAACTTCTTCCAATAAATTAACACTGGCCATTGTGCCATCATTTACAGGGGGTAAACAGATGCATTCAGCACTACTTTGACAAGGGGGAAAAAGAGCGCCAAGTCCAGACAGGTGACATACTCAGGAAATGTGTGTGAGAGCTTCCAAGGGCAGGGTGAGGAAAGAGCCAGTGGTAGCTCATTATGCGAAGTAGTTTCGTCCCACAATGGCTCCAACATACACACACACACTGAGAAATGCATTAAACCAGCAGCTCTTGCTGATACAGTTTACTAGCACTGTCCAACCCACACAGTTGTTCCTTCCAAGTCCATTGCTTTGAAATACTCCTCTGAGTGGTGGTGTTTTCCAAGTACTTAAGACGTAGTGAAGGAACAAAGGAAAAGAGATGTGCTGTAACATAATGCCATAGCAACAGGAGCCAGCTAGGTCTCACCATTCCCTATCTTCTTCCTGCTTTGTCAGAGTTCAGCCCTTTGGGAGGGGAAAGGAGCATGAGCTTTGAGCATGAGCTTTGTACGCACAAAACATGATGGAGACGCCAGTGCCACTGATTCACCAACACATACTTGAGTGAGTACCTGCTGCATGCTGGGTACAATGGTGGTGAGGCATATGAGTTCTGAGATCCCTGTCCTAGTGGCCCCTCTGAGGGGAGATGGGGATAGCACACACACAAGACCATTCAGAGCTCTCCTGATGGCCTAAAGGAATTAAAGAGGGTGATGGGGTGGTGAATGCTGAGGGGTCAGTGTTCACAACTTTAGGTGGGATGCTCAGAAAAAGACTCTACCCTCTGAGAAGATGAAATGTGAGCTGAGACATGACAGATGAGAAAGAGATGGTCTGCCCAAGAGCCTAGGGCATGTGCCTTGATAAAGGACACAGCAATTGCAGCGACTATAAGGTTGGAAACAGCACTCTGAGCAAAAGAAAGGAGGTGGAGTATTGTGAAGCTCAGTGAACAAGGCAGAGATGGTACAGAAGACAGCAGGTCAGAAGAGGAACTGCGGTCAGATCATCTGGGGCTTTGCAGCCATCACCTGTTTTTTATTCTAACTATGACCACACTAAGTGGAAATGTATCTCTTTCCAAACTTCATCCCTCAAAATCAAGTGCTAACTAATGACAGATACCTCTAGCACTTCCTGACATGAATTTGTTTATTTATTCTCTAAATGAGACTGCCTTTTGTTGAATGTTATCAACACTTGCATAGTTTCAAGGATTCATTCTAACAAAGGGCATACCCATTTTTCATCACAGATAAGATGGATTTCATAAAAATTAGGGGATTATATATTTTGTGAACATCTGCATCTTTTTTCCCACCTTCTTGGCTTCTTTCCAGCCCTTGAGACCCTGTACACACTGTTGTACTATTGCACTGATCCTGATTCCCCTCTTTTTGCCTCTCCCCAGTTTTTCAGGCACAGCTGAGGACCTACCTCCTCCCACAAGTCTGTCTCTTCTTCTTCACTGAACTATGGGATGGAGAGAGACAGAAAGACACACACACACACACACACAAAACACACACACACACTGTTCTACACAATCCAACTCTGAATTCTCACTGTTACTGTTAAATCTTGTGTGTGAACTTTTCCTTCTTGATTGTAATCCTCTAGATGACTGTGCATTAAACCAAATTTAATGTAGGATTTTAGTAAATATTGGCTGATTGATTACACACAGACATGATGGCACATCCTCACCTTTATTTCCAAATAAACAACTGCCATTATGCTTAGTGCTCTGAGATATCTAGACAGCTAATGCTTGATTAACAGAGATGATCATGAAAGAAATAGTGTAGATTTCTGAAATGCCTACATTTTTCAGAAGTCTCATTCTGGCCAAGTGTTTGGGCCGCTCCTTACCAAATACTTTACTTTAACACAAAGCAACCCTGACAGGTTTCCATTTCACCTTTTCTTTTTCAAAACCTGCTCTGGCCACCCGTGGTATTGTTTGTGACATGAAGTAATGTTAATGCGGCCAAGAGGTGGGCCGGAGGAAGGAAATGCACAGGAAATGGGAAACCCACAAATGGGATCACCGTCCTGGAGTGGAGAGATTCTGCCTGAAATTGTAATTATTAAAACTGAAGAAAACCAGCTGTCTATGGAAAACATGTGTGTTAAAAATGGAGCAATTAGGTTTCTTTCTTCTACCTCTACTTCTGTTGAATCTGACTTTGCAATTAAATATTTTTGTACCACCTTTTATCTCTTTTTTTAAAATTTTCACCCACCAACATGGTATTGCTAGAAGGGAAAGGAGGGGGAAATATACAACTGATACTTTCATTCATATCATCTAATACAGCAAGCAGCCAAAATGTCAAGGGAAACAACAAAGTTAATCAGAGTCTGGGGTGTTTTTTGTAAATGAGTAAATAAGGTCAGCAGACCCTTGCATCAGAACCCTAAATCAGAGAGTGATCCTTAGATTTTTAACACATGTTTCAAGTGGTCCAGGCTTCCAAACATTTTTCTAAATAGTTGTTTCATATACCCAAGGTATCAAAAGAGCAAAAACTGTGGAAAATACTGATGCCAGTCAACACTGACCAAAAATGAGAATAATTCAATCATTTCCTTAACTGCCTGATCAAAATGATCTTTAGCCTAGGCTCTATTTACTTGACCGGATCTATGTCACAACACCTCCAAAAGGCAAAAGGGTTACAAATTAGCTGTGCTTTCCTTATACACAGTCAAACACATTGAGAAGATCTCTACCAGAACTGGAACTAAGGACTAGTTTCTGTAATTGTGTTACCATGGATGCAGTCCCTAGACTGACCTTCACAAAAGAGCCCAGTCAGAAACTCCCAGCATATGTGAAGCTGATGAAAACCACATATGTGCATGGTATATGCAAGATAAATATTTTCAGTAGATGTAGTACCTTCAGTTCTGAATAATGTACTATATTTCAGTGCCGGTCTATGCACAAACAACAAAGTATTTAAAAACAATACAAAATGGGACGTATCTGCAAAAACAATGGCTACCGCCTAGGTCTCCCACTTCCTTACTCATAAAAGCTTTTTTGTATTCCTTTTAGGAGTGAAATTTTAAAGAGATTGTTCTGTGAGTTCTAGAGACAGCTTTTTCCATACCAGGGTTGTGAACTATTCTGCTTATAAACCACTCTGGGTGTGTCCACTTCTCTTGTGTCTTAATAAACACATCACAGTGTTTGCTCAATGAGAGAATTGTTTATACCCAAGATAAACACCTTTGCTATGCTCTCACCATCATTTTGTTCAGACTGGGAGGGACGGGCTGGCCCTCAATGTCATTCTTTTTTAACTTCTCCAAGTTCTGAGGGTCTCCAATGAACTGCCAATTTATATGCTGCCAAAAGCCTGCTAACATTGAAAACATTTGTTGTTCACTGTTATTGATACAGTGGCTCCTAAGACTACATCTCTGACTACACAATGTTAAGAAAGCAGAAATATATATGTAAAATATCAGTTTGGCAGACAAATTCATAAATATATCTAGTTAGCTTAGTAAAGTGTATACAGTACTTGAAATTCTTTGTGAAATCTGGAGACCAAAAGCTGTCAGAAATCGAAAGAAACAGAAGACTCCCTGAACAGGAAATGTAACTGACATCGACTCTATCCTTCCTCTAGCCAAGCATTGCACTCCTGGGCTCAGAACAACTATCTGAGGGAGGTACTTTTAACATCTGCTCTTGTCAGATAAAGAAAAAGGAGAATTCATCAGCTTAGGTAACCTTCCAGAGTTCACACAGCTAGCTGGTCAATAGTGGAAGTAGGACTCAAAGCCAAGCTCTCTGACACCAGACCATAGAGCTGTGGAAACTCTTGCATGAAGCTTGAAACAGAAAGGGCCTAGAGGGAGAGCAAGACATATGCAGAGTCAGATAAGGAGAAGATAAGGTGTGGCTGTTGGACAATATAGCACCAGTAAAGGAATTCAAATGACAGAAATTATGCTGGCCTTAGTACTGTGATCAGGGCATTTAAGTGATAAGATAGAATATAGTTGGATAAGACTTTAGAGACCTTCTAATTTGTCCTTAATCCACTTATTGCAACATATCTTTTAGGAAATCACTAGTTTCTATTTGAACAGTTTTAGTGACAGGGAGCTCACTTCTTTACTAAATAGCCAATGATGTGCTGGTATATCAGTTCTTAAAAAAAATCCCTTATTTGCAGTGTTTGCCAATTTCAGTGGTGTAAATACTCCTATCATGGTCAGTTTTGAACTACCACTCTCACAAAATTCCTGAATGTGTGACAGTGAGCCTTCATAAGTCATTAGAAGGCAGATCCAGCATATCACTGGAAACAGGTCGCTCTGCCGTTAGTCTTTCCATTTCTGATGAAGTCATTCCACCCAATGGGTCTGACATCTGCTTCTCAGCACCTGGGAAGTACCTACACTTAGTTCCTCCCTTCACAGTTTCAGACAATAGTTTTAATGC